ATCGGTCGGCCAATTCGAAAAGAAACACGGCAAAGCCTTTTTCGGCAACTAAGAGCGGAATGTTAAGAAGAGGTCATGGATAAGTAGATGGTACATCACTGATTGGTTTCTTCTGAGGGGAAGATAAAGTTAGAGCTAGTTGTCAGTTTGGTTAAAGGAATCTTCCACGGACCATGGATCTGTGGGCGGGACCTGTTTTGATTCAGTGGTAGTTTACAAGGTGTTTAATAAATCATTTATTAATTACAAAGCAACTATGACCAAACACACAATGGAGAAGAGACAGGAGAGGATAGAAATTGTTATCGTTGTACATTACTACATCTCGTATTGTTGTCCTTAGGTTATGTGTCCGAGTGTAAGTCGTCTTGTCGTCTTAACGAGTGGCGAGTCCGACCGGCATAGAATCGTCGTGTCGTAGTTGTAAAAGTTAGGGTAGATGGTGTGCGACCGTAATCGCTTGACGAGAGGGGCGGAGCCCCAGAAGGAAGAGAGAAGAGTTGAAAGAGGCTAAACTAAAGGTGACACCGAAGTGGAAGACTGCCACTGCCGCCCGGAGCGCGCTCTTTATACCTCCCAGAAGAGGGCGGTATATATACCTGTGCTAGTAGGCGGTCCGGTGGGCATGGCAATTTGGAATTGGTTGTAGTTTGTACGCGGTAAATTCAAAATGTATATGCCGTGTTTCGGCACTTGTTTGTTGTAACAGGGCTTAGCCTTAGGGTATTTAGGGGACCAGTCTTTATCATGACTGGGAAGTCATGACAGGACCGGAAGTTTTTGTGACGAAATGCATGGTAGGTACGGATCCACGTGTCGAACGCACGAACGTGAACAGGATTCACTTCAAACCTTCCCATGAACGTGGATCCGTACCTACCATGCATTTCGTCGCAAAACCACTTCCGGTCCCGCCCACTGGTCCATGGTCCGTGGAAGATTCCTTTAATTTCCGTCGGCTGAACCTCTCATTTCGGAAGCCTAAATTTTGAAAACTCTGCCACAAAGGGTGAAGAAGAACACAGCGTATGTAGTGCAGACATCACGAATGAATGAAAACATGAATGGTATATGACATCGTATTAAAGCATAAGGATAGCCGAAAATTTTTTGTTTGAAAAAAGCAACACTACTTATATGACAACCTAACAGTACTAGGTTGAGCAAAAATTATCCGCCTTTTTCAGGCTCATGACCCTTTGATTTTTTGCTGATTATTTTTGAAGATTATGATGTAGTCTGAAAGCGCAATCTCTTGTACATTTTGATGTACAACACTTGTGTATTTGCTTCACTCTGGAGCTTACACACGAGCAAAAAAAGATTGCTCATGCTACATGAGTGCAAGTTGAGCTCGAAACCGAATGCTTCTGCATCTGCTCGTAGAATCAATGAAGCCTGGGATGAAGGCACGGTTGCAGAGAGGACTGTTCGAGAGCGTTTGTTGATTACGCATTTATTGTTGTTTTTGTTTGGTTTTGTTAATAAACTTATGAGTGAAATGAAAACGGCGGATAATTTTTGCTCAATCTAATACTTGATTTCGAAACCAGTTGAGATACTCTTACTTCGCCCACTTCTTCCCTGCAAAATGGCTGTCGAGAGGCGTCAAGCGCGTTAGGCTTCCCTCCCAGAACTGCAAACAGAACCCTCCGTTTGACTTTGTCGGACTGGTGACCGTATGGTGGTATGTCTAGCGGCGCTGTCTGGAACTGCGCGATACACTCCCAACACCTCCAAAACTGACCTACAGAATCAACGAAATACAAAAGCTGCGTTCGAAGTGGTGTTAGAGCGGGGAAGGGTGTTATGAGAAGGAGGGGGCTGTATTTAGCTGTTAAAATAACAATCTTCACGCTATATTTCCCTTTCTACATCACCACTGTTGTCACGAAACGTGTGCATCTACAACCCCCTTCTCACTAATTGTGAGCAAATACGACGCCTTGTCGAGAATCGTCGTCGTGGTTCACCAAAGC